GAGGATCAAGAATCCATTGGGCCAACTGGGGAAATTAGCCAAAGATAAGAAAGATGGTGGTTTAGGCTTTAAAGACTTGAAAGACATGAATGAAGCTCTTATGCTGAAACAGATTTGGAGAGTCTTAAAGCCAAATTGCCTCATGAGCAGGGTCTTGAGGGGCAGATATTGCCATGAAAAATCTTTTTTAGAAATTCCTAAGAAGGACTCTGACTCATGGATGTGGAGATGTTGGCTAGACTGCAGGGAGTCCTTGGTTCTGGGGCTAAGATATCAGGTTGGCAATGGGCTCTCTATTAAAATTTGGGACCACCCTTTGCTACCAAATACAACTCATTTTAAACCAACTCTGATGTGGTCGTTAGTAGTGGCTCGGGAAGAACCGGTTGGGAGTTCGGCCATCATTGTCATGTGAAGGGGACCAGATAAACATCATGGTAGTGGGGTGACTGGGAGTGCTCGGCGGCGCTCGGTGTCCGGCGCCTCTCGAGTGCTCGGCCTTTGGGAGTGCTCGGCGGGAGGTGCCCGGCCGGCCTTTGGGAGTGCTCGGCGGAGGGGTGCCCGGCGCAAGGTCCTCGGTGACACGTGTTCAACGCGAGGTACTCGGATTTGGATGATTCTTGGGGGGTGCTTGGCCTTTGGAGGTGTCCGGCGGTCCTCGTATGTCCAGAGGCTCTCGTGCGCGTCGAGGAGGTTAGAACCTCAGGGTGACTTTGTGATCAAGTTACGAAAGAGTTAGTAGTAACAAGGACTCTCGGGATTCAGAAGACATTTTAACCTAATGGAGAGTTTGATACGAAAAAGACTTCTTATTCCATTGGGACTCTCCAAATTTCTCCTATAAAAGGGAGCAGGTTCATTCATTTTACACAACACACATTCACGAACTATCTCGTTACTCTGCCGTTTTCTCTCTAGACCATCACTGACTTGAGCGTCGGAGTGTTCGCGCCGGGACCACCCCCGGCGTGCTTTGCAGGTACCGACGATCAAGGAGACGCAACCCGGTTCGAGAGGAGCGGTCCAGCAGTTCGAGTATTTGTGGTATAACAAACTCGTTGTTCTGAGGAAGAGAGAAACAGCTTATAAATGGTGTTTGATCTTATGACCACTGATGGAAGAAGCTGGAATTCTGACCTTCTTCATCAAACCTTCAATCCTTCAGATGCACAACTCATTTTGGATACTCACGTCAGTTACAGGATCTCCAGACAAACTCCTTTGGCATCCTAATAAAAAAGGTATATTCATTGTTAAAGATGCCTATATAACCATTCAGAAGAGCAAAAATGTTAAGGCTGGGGAGATTGAATCGAGCTCAGGCCCTAAAGTCAGACACATATTTTGGGAAAACTCTGGAAGCTGCAGGTCAAACCAAAAATCAAGAACTTTGTCTGGAGATGTCTTCACAACTAGGTGGGGACCAGCAGTAGATTATCTCAGAAGGGCATTATATCAGATAATATATGCAGCTGCTGTGGAGAGAAAGCAGAGGACCTAGATCATCTCATGTTCAACTGTGTCAGGGCTCAAAATGTATGGAAGCTGGCCGGGATCCAATGGAACTGCAATAATCTCAAACATTTTTCCTTTACTATTTGGTGGGAGGATGTGTGCAAGCTGAAGGATTCTGAGATAAATCATGATAGAATTTCCTTATCCACCTACCTCTTGTGGTGGATGTGAAAGACAAGAAATATCTGGATATTTAAGAAGGAGTTTATCTCAGAGTTTGAGTTGGTGAAAAATGCAAATGCTGAATGGTTGGAATATGAAGAGATCAAATTTGGCAGAGGTTATCTAGATTTGCTGAATCCCAGACAATAGGGGAGGTTTTTCAAACTCCCAGTGTTGTTGTACCCCTTCAGTCACTCTGGAAGATTAAAGAATCAGCCTATGTTGGTGATGTGGAGTTGGCTAACTGGATCTCATCTAGGGATGCTTCTCCTAAGCAACTAGTGGATGATGTCTTGCTAGACTTAAGAAAGTGGTTGGAACTGGGACTACAGCTTAATTGGCAGAAGATCTCTCTTATCTTTACTGACAAGAACTTGTTTCATATGCTGTCTGATAAGGAGCAAAACAAGTGGCCTGCAAATGTGCTTATCTCTGATATTTGTACTCTTCTGTCTCTATTCCCAGTTGCTTCACTTTCTTTGTTGTTGTAGTTTTTAGTAGTTTCAGTTTCTTTTTTCTGTTTTGTTTCTTTGTCTAGTTTAGCTGTGGCTTTTGCTGTTTGGGTAATCTTTTGTTGTTTGTGTTTCTTCTTCCTGTAGCTTTTTCTGTTCTTCTGTTGTTGTGGTCTTGTTGGCCCTTTAGGTTGGTTCTTGGTAACCTTCCTTGTCGTCTCAGTCTAGAGATTGATGCTCCTATTTAGGAGTTCGTATTGTACTTATCTTTGAGTTTATTTATAAGATTTGATGTTTTCTGGTTAAAAAAAAAAAAAAAAAAA